ACTATCAACTGACTCTTCTCTACACAGAATAAAGGGATGTGGATCACATTGTGATATTGTAGCGGCAGAAAATGATGGGGCTAGCTAATCCAAAATGAATTGTTATCTTTGGATGAACGGCGATAACTTCATCAAAATAGCCTTAAATTGAGCGCAAAGGGCGCGAAAAGAAAGCTTCCATAAATAAAGACTCTTCATCTCTTTCATTTCAGGAAGTGCAATGCAACGCAGACACCAGCTCAGCCCGGAGGAGAAAACCCTAGTTTGCAATGTATATGATTATTTCGTCGCCGAGGTCAAAGCAGGCAGAAGTGGAGGGCAGGACTCGCGCCATCGAACTAAAGAGGCAACGCGCTTTGGTAAAAACAGAGTTTATCGGGTGCTCCGGGCAAGGAACTTCGACCCAGACACCAATTTCGTCGAGGTGCGCTTGTCATTTTTGCCCATGTAGGGTTAAAACAGCTCTGTTGTGATATCATATGGTAATCTTATAATTTAATTTTTTCGCTAGTAGAATGCTGTAGCTGATGAGGAAGACGGAGAGTAATCTCTCTTTAAATTTATACAAATCCTTTTTTTTTAATTTTGAACCTTTTATTCTTAACGCGTGTTTGCACGACTGTTTTGCACTTTCCACGCTCTAGACCAATAGAAAATCAGCATTTTAGCAACTGTTTCCCCGCTTAAATGTCCTCGGAGACACCTTTTGGTGGAGCCTGTAGCGGCAAAACTACGTTGAATTAGCCGGTTTTAACACCAAAAGCATACTCAAAATGAGCGATTTTACCACATATCTAAATGTCATATCTGGTTTTATCAAAATTGAGCCCAAATTGTGGCTTTGATTACTAGCCCCTTCATTTTCTGCCGCTACAATAGCTGGAATCACTTTATTCACTATTATTTGTTGCTGCAATCATCGGTCTACTTTGAAAGTCAACTGGGTCCAATGCCCCTTATCTCAATATATGGCTTCGCCTAGAGCAGGGTACCCTTAGTATAAGAGTGACTATTTCCTTGTGAGACTATCCCGCATGGTTCCTCTTTGTGCAATAAAACATTTTTTTTATTTCCTGTTGAATCCCAGCAGCCTTACAGACAGTTGGGAGCACCTGCATTCAACTCAAATCAAGCGCCGTGAGTGGTGATTGTGCAACCAGCAACCCTACGAATATTCCGCTTTGTGATGTTCTCTCCCTTCAGCTGAAGCACCAGAGTTTCAGCGGGACTGGCGCTAAGGTGACTAATAACACGATATTGCATTCATTTAAGTCGCCAGTTCTCCTTGACAAAGTGAAAGTTAGTAATCGAGCTACCAGAGAATACGGACGCTATTTAGTTGAGTATATGTCGGACAACAACGTGTCATCCAAAGTCCACAGTGAAGAATGCAGCCGGGAAATTTAGCACCACAAAGCTGTTGCGATGAAAGAAAAAAACAGGGAAGTAGATGAGTTACCGGGAATGCTGTAGTTACCCTGTTGCTGCCAACCTATACTTAGAGTTTGTAAACTTCTTTGTCTCACTTGTTTACGGTGATTTTGATTTTTATGTATCACACAATATTATTATTCGTCAATTTTATTAGGTACCCATACCAAGTAAAACGGTTGGTTGGGGGCAACTAATTCGAAAGGACTTAACACCAGAATTTTGCACTGATGCGCACAGTTGGGACAAGAGCATTTCGCGCAAAACGCGCGTTGCAGTGGCGGTGCTCCCCACAACGCTAAACCGCATTCATGCCAGAACCTGCAGAGACGCGCAACAGGAGCTTGTAATGCAGACCGTTGAAGCACCTCAGCCCGTTCTCGCGATTGCAGAAATCTACTTCAACCTCCCCATATCCATGAACCACTTGAGGAAGTTTGTTCCCATAGTTTTGGTGTTGGTGAGCACGGTCCACAGATACACGACATGATCGAGGAGGCTGCTATGCCTCCGGATGTCATTACCTCTGTGGCAATACTTATCGTGTTCATTGATATAACCGCGGCGGAACGCGAAAAACATTAAAGCATCTTCTTTAATATACCAGGAGGTTCCAACTGATGCTGTAAGTTGAGTTCCCATGTATCTTGCTCGAGATGCATGTCAAGTTTGTAAGCAGAAAAAAAATTACGGTGGGGCTACCCCATTTTGCCCTATATGCCGCATGCACAACGTTTGTAGGCCGCTAATGTATAGTGTATGAAACTTTAACTAAATAAACTTGATGAATGTCGTCCAAAACGTAATTCGATCGTACAATGTAAATTAAAGAAGCCAAAATGGACTCTCTGCCCTATTTGTATATTTGTATTCATAGTTGGATGTCATGTTGATGTTTATACCATGAGTCCGTCAAAATATA